ATTTAAAAAATAAATAAAGATTTTTTATAAATTTTATTCTTGAATTTTAAAAGTAATCTATGGAATGAACATTTTTTATGAATTTCTAACTGAAAAATAATTTTAAAATGTTCGAGATTTTGATGATGTATAAGCGCATATAGTAGTCCGACGTATGTATATCATTAATATTTTTTAACTTCCATTMAATAAGCTCATGAACCTTATTTTACTAAGAGGAAAAGTATTTATCAAGAATAGTTTTGAAAAAATGTACAAAATTCGAAAAACGTCTCATGGATTTATCATAATTAACTCGAATGACTCAAAATTGTTGAAAATTTCACCATTCTTAAAAATGCTATAATAAATATTTCGGGCGGCCATGAGGCATATTATTGTTATACATAAGCTTTGTAAGTATATAATATATAATTAATGTTATTACATTAATTATATAATGTATAACATATTGTGTATCATTTAATTTTAATTTTGTTATATTAATTTATCAGTGCATACAGTATGATACATAATATTTATTGAAAGTATATTTTCGACACGGGTCAATAAACATACCAATCTACAGTACTAAGTCCAARAATAAATAATCATTTGAAACGATAAATAATTAAATGCATAATAAAAAACGAATACGTTAAATTTTTCTCTGTGTGTATAATTAATACCATATTTTTATCATTACGAATAATAATTTGAATGTATAAATCTAAAGGTCGAAAAGGAGGAGAATTTAATGRAAAATTAATTTACGATCTGTCCATGTATAACTTAACATTCGCTCCTGAACATTAAGAGATACAAGTTTCATCTTTTGAATTAAAAAATAACGATGTTGGCAAAAATATTTTTGGTCGTTTTCCTGGCGACTGGTGTCATGTCATTCCTTAAGGTAAATATATTTGACATTTGAAAATAATAGTATAATTCTAAATTTCTTTAATTTATTTTAGTTTATTCATCTCTTATTATAAAAAGATTTTTTTAAATTAATACTTGGTATATGATTTTTAAAAAATAATTGATATTTTAGGATGACCATGAAAACGAACTTGTCAACTCAGCTCTTGGGACTGGAACGGTATTATTAAAAGAAGCTTCAAAGTACATAACAGATGATGCGGATAGATACTCCTTGGACTTGAACGCTTTGTACAAAAAATATGAAATCGCATCAAAGACTGAGCAAGCAAGAAACTTTCTCCATGCTCAGGTAAAAAAAATGTGTTTATAATATTTAAGAAATGAAATTATTTGAATACTTTTTGGATTCAAACTGATATAAAAATACATGCTTATTATATTTTATAAAAAATATATATTTAATTTAATATTCATATAAATTGCCCCTTGTATTGTACATCTTCTCGGTGGCTCATTATTCATTAAATATAATAAAACTCAATTAGGTGTCCAATACTGTCCATAAGTATAGTAGCTATATTATATAAACATATAATTTTTTWAAATTTTATTTAGCTTCTAATATAAAATATTATAGCTCAGAAATTAATGTGATATAAACAAATTATAAATTGTAATTTTACAATCTCTTGGTAATTGTATAATTAAAATGTTATTATTATTAAGGTTTTATGTTTTTAAGCTTTAAGGTTTCAAAAATTTTCCTTCTAATGATTTAACTAGTAACTCTGCTTATTTTTTTTTTTAATACATCATAWTCAATAGAAAATAAAAAATATATTTACTGATAGGTACATATTCAGTAAAATACAACATTAAAAATAAAAAGGTACTAGGTACCTATTTAAAATATTTTTTTTTAGAAAAATCTCAACTGATGTATAATGGCGGTTTGAGTACAATAATACTTATGAATTCATACTTTAATAAATTTAATAGTATTCACCCAATACATATTGTTGATTTATTTAAGTAAAATATATCACAGTTTTTTGGTRTATTATTTTTTGAACTTTTCAATGGTATCATAGTTAGTACTTTATGGGCTTTAAACTTAATAGAATAAATTCAAAATTATTCATAGATATTGTTACATATATAATATATATTAGGTACATACAAAATGATTCATAAGGCATAGGTACCAAACACAATGTTTTCCATTAATCATTATTAAGTTAATTCAAATTCTGATTTTCAAAATTAGAAACCATATTTTCAAATATTTAGATATTTTGTGTCATTATTATAATAAAAAGACTTTTCTGCCGTAGTACAAATTMATTTTATTTTAATTTGATCAATATAGTTTTATTGTAAAATTTTAAGCAGATTGTAGGTTAATCTTTTTAAATAATGATGTATGCATATGATATATTAATTGAAATTCGTACGAGTAGTTTCTTTGACATAAAACTACTTAGGTATGTATTAAAAATGATATTCTTAGTAACTGAAAAGAACGAAAATATGATATTATAAAAGTTATAGCAGATAATTATGAATTAAAATGTATACATGTTCAAATACTATTTTATATTTTTACAATGGTCTAAGTAAACTCCAGACTAAATATTCCATATTTTATATTTTTCGTAAAATTTTATGTTTACTAATAATAGAGTTTTTGAATTTTCATTTGATTTTCGAAAATGTTCTCTGAAAATTAAGAATTTCTTGAAATACAAAATCATTAATTATTGAAATATGTTTGACAAAAATTGAGATCGTAACTAAAATATCAACAATACAATATTCACTTAAAAACCAACTATATATTTCACGTAAATCAAAACTATATTCGTATAATTAGTGGCGTATTGTGGAAATATTTATCATGTATCTAACAGCAGTAAAAAAAAAAAATATGAGTAATGACTAATAAATTATATTTTTCAATTCTTCGATTTATTATTATAAGATTTGTCGGTTATTCACTTTTAATGACCTAATTATTTAGTAAAACCATGTTGATGAACGAACTTCCTGTCCCTATAGGCTATAGGTCACAGGCMTTTAATATTATAAAGTCTATAATTTTATCTGAGATTAAAATTGATACAATTTAAATTCAGCAGTTCTTATCTATGTTCATTCCTAATTGAACTAAAAACATATTATTTTACACTATTAATAATTATATTC